GGGTCTGATTCAGGCCGCCGCGGGCAAGGGCCGCAAGAACTCCCGGGCCGCCGAGGAGGAGCCCCACCGGGGTGCGACCAAGAGCTCGGGCTGCAGCACCTACATCAACAGGCTCATCAAGGTGGACGCTCAGGAAAAGAACGGGAAGAGCAACTACCCCGGCAGCAGCAGCAGCAGCGGCGGCGGCAGCAGCAGCAGCAGCAGCAGCTCTTCCTCCGCGTCCTCTTCCCCTTCCTCCCTGGGCCCCGAGCTGGACAAGGGCAAGATTATTAAGCAGCAAGACACGGTAAGAATACAGGCTCAGGCCGGGCGCGGTGGCTTACGCCTATAATCCCAGCACTTTGGGAGACCGAGGTGAGAGGATTGCCTGAGCCCACGGGTTTGAGACCAGCCTGGGCTGCTGGGCGAGACGTCGTCTCTACAGTAAATTTTACAAATTAGCCGGGCGTGGTGGCTCACGCCTGTAGTTCCAGCTACTTGGAAGACTGAGGCAGAAGGATCGCCTGAGCCCAGCAGGTCGAGGCTGCGGTGGCCGTGAACGTGCCACTGCACTCTACCCTGGGTGACAGTGAGACTCCAACTCAAAATAAGAAGAATACAGCCTCTTGGACCATCTCAGTGGGAAGGGAGCACAGTGACCCTGCTTAAACCCTAGGCTTCTTTATATCTAAGAGAGGGTAAGAATATGTTTTCTGGCCGGGCTTGGTGGCTCAGCCTATAATCCCAGCACCTTGGGAGGCCAAGGCGAGTGAATTGCCTGAGCCCGCGGGTTCGAGACCCACCTGGGCAACTTGGCGAGACCTTGTCTCTACAATTTAAAAAAAAAAAAGAATGTGTTTTCTAATGTCTTTTCCCCCTCCACCATTCTGTGACTCCTAAGTTATCATTTGAAATTATTCGATTTTTTTTTTTAACCTTGAAAAATCCTTATTCTAGAGTTGGAGAGCTTTACAAAAATGTACTGTTCGTTTAGTTTTTTTGGCATTTTAGAAGAATAATTGGACTGGGTGCAGTGGCTCATGCCTGTAATCCTGACACTTTGGAAAGTCCAAGTGGGAGGATCACTTGAGCCCAGAAGTTGTTTGAGACCAGCCTGGGCAACGCAGTGAGACCGCATCTCTACAAAAAAATACAAAAATTAGCTGGGAGTAGTGCTCGCCCATAGTCCCAGCTACTCAGAGGCTGAGGCAGGAGGCCGAAGTGAAAGGATTGCTTGAACCCAGGAGTTCTAGTCTGCAGTTAGCCAGGATTGTGCCACTGCACTACATCCAGCCTGGGCAACAGAGTGAGACCTTGTTTCAAAACAAAGAGAGAGAGAGAGAGGCCAGAAGTAATCCCAGCACTTTGGGAGGTGGAGGTAAGAGAACTGCCTGAGCCCAAGGATTCAAGACCAGCCTGGGCAACTTGGCAAGATCTCGTCTCTACAATAAACCAAAAAATTAGCTGGGTATGGTAGCGCTTGCCTGTAGGTTCAAGCTACTTGGAAGACTGAGAAAGATTGTCTGAGCCCAGCAGATCCAGGCTGCAGTTGCCATGAGCATGCCACTGCACCCCTGCCCAAGTGACAGAGTGAGACTCCAACTCAAAAAAAAAAAGAGAGAGTAGTTGATTATATGTTTGTTAAACTTGACCCCTTTGTAGATGTGGTTTATTTGAATTTTTATATCCAGGGAAATTGCAAGTTAGATCTGTGTATGACTTTTATCGTTCTTGAGCATAAGAAATGATAACCTCTAGACTGTGTAAGTATGGATTTCAAAGCTTCAGGAAATGGGTTGGCCAACCCCCTTCTCTGCTGATCTGGAAGTTCCACCATTCTCTGCAGCCCAACCTAGTAAAGGGCTTCAGCAACACTCCAAAGTGCCTGTCCTTTTCATTCATACCATGAGCACTTGCTGTGCAACAGTCATGTGGGATAAGCAGTACAGTGCACTGAGGGCTGTGGGGGATACAGAAAATGACAAGAAAAGGCTCTTAAGGAAACTGCAGGTGGAGAGAGGTGTTTTTTGGGTGCTGTCCAATGTTGGAAAATGAAGAAAAGGAGTGTGAGCATGTGAAGAGACTCTCCATTCTTACAGGGATGAGTTGGTTTGGTTTGGTTGGCTTCATCTTCTCTCCTGTGCGAAAGGCAGAGACAGAAGAGCTGAAACCCAGGTTTCAGACTCCAGTCCAACCAATCACTGCCTGACGTGGGGACTTTAATTTTCTCTTGCTCAGGTTTCAAACGTGCTGCCTCCATGGATGGAGTCAGGAGCCCATAGCACAGGCGATGCATCCTTCACTGGGCACTTCTGTTCATTCCTCCATTCATGGCTTCCACAAATATTTAGTGTGCCTACCCTGAGCCAGGCACTGAGCGGAGAGCCGTATCAAGATGGGTAAGGGCCCGGCTCCTATATTACTCCATGATCTTCCTGGCTCGATCATAGCCTTGAAGCTGAGGGCTACGTGTCATGACTAGGTTCCATGCTATACCTTGTAACTGCAGTACCCATGTTGGATAGTCAAGAAAAATAGATCAAGTGAGTGGTAAGCCCAGTGGTTGTCTGGTTATTTTCATGGTTGTCACTTCTGGATGTCCAAGGTTTCTTAGGCTGTTTCTTGCCAGGTGGAAGGAAACTCGCTAGACTGTTCCCTCCTCTTCGCTTCTCCCTCATTTTTCTGAATTCTTCCTGCCAGCTCCAGTGGAACTTCCCCATGAACTCTTTGGAGAATGTAATCAGAGATTGTGAAGCAAGACCCGGCACTTCCTCCCTGAGAGGATTCCCTAAACACCGGCGTTGTCACCCAGCCACTGCAGAACAGAACTAATTGCTGCACCCACACCACCACCTAGGCACCTTGTGTTTCAGGAAAGAGATGCTTTCTGACATAAAAACTGATCAAAACTCTATCTGATCCATAGCCTGTGACAGTAGTTTGCCTGTGAATTATTGAACCCAGCACTCCTTCAATACTGTTTATTACTGACCTATTTCTCCTTATGAAGCCTGGTTTTGGAGCTATTGTACACTCCCTGAGGACAGGAAGCATGTCTTGGGTTTATTTTGACTCCCTCCTGGTGCCTGGCCAGTGCTGGTGGGTGATTCACTCACTCCCTCACTCTGACTGTACTACTCAGCTGATTGGAGTTTTGAAAACCCCATTCATGGAGTATCTGGTGGAGCAGTTCACCCCGTTATGCTGTAAAGCCATGAACACCCTCTACTCCACACCACCCTCCCCTGCCACTCTCTAACCCAGCTGATGCTCTGTTACTTGGAGCCAGAAAAGGAGATGAAAAGAGACTTGGGGATCAGTAGAAGGCCTTAGATGGATTGCTGGAAATTAATTATCCTACCAATAAAAATCAAATTTTGAGACACGTGATCAAGTGCAGAAGATAACTGGAACTGGCTAGATGTGTGCCTGCCCTTCAGATCTGCAGGGGATGTCAGCAACCATCTTGATACCATTGCAGTCCTGGCCTATGGGAAGCCTTAGCAGTTGTCCTCTCTCATTCTTTTACAGGTCATCATTTTAGAAGACTATGCTGACCCTTATGATGCCAAACGGACAAAAGGTCAAAGGGATGCAGAGAGAGTCGGAGAGAATGACGGGTATATGGAGCCCTATGATGCACAGCAGATGATAACAGGTCTGTAAGCAGGTGCTGCTTTTTGTGGGGGCGGGGGACAAGGTTGGAGTACAGTAGCACAGTCAGGCCCAAGCAATCCTCCCACCTCAGCTCCCAAGTACCTGGGACCAGAGGTGTGCCACCATGCCCAACCTTTTTTGCGGTAGAGGGTGTAAAGGCGGGGTTTCACTATGTTGCCCAAAGTGGTCTTGAACTCCTGGCCTCAAGCAATCCTTCCACCTTGGCCCCCCTAAGTGCTGAGAGGTGGCGTGAGCCTTCATGTCCAGCCAGCAGGTTCTGCTTCATAGGGACTGAAATTCCACACTCAAACTGGAGTGTTGTAAAACAGTAACCAGTGTATAGTTGGCAAAGAGGGATAAAGTAATTTAACCAGATCCTGAGGACTGGAAGAAACTGAAAGCAGACCCCAAACTAAGGTTAGGCTATCTAGGTAATTTTCTTTATGGTGTAGTATCCTTTGGAGTTTTAGAATTTGCAGAGGTCTTTAAAGTTTTTCGAGCTGTATGCAAGGTAAGTTTGCAGATCTGCTCAGAATGTGATTGTCAGTTTTAAGATTGTTTGTATACATTTCTTGGCCACTTTCAGAATGGGAGTCATAAATCTATACCGAAGGACAAATACAAACGTAATAACTTTACACTGTTAAAAGACACAAACATGCCAGGCTTGGTGACTCAGCCTGTAATCCCGTGCCTTTGGGAGGCTGAGGTGAGTGAATTGCCTGAGCCCATGGGTTCGAGACCCACCTGGGCAACTTGGCGAAACCTCATCTCTACAATCAATCAAAAAATCAGCCGGGCAAGGTAGCACGTGCCTGTAGTTCCAGCTCCTTGGAAGGCTGTGGCGGAAGGGATCGCCGGAGCCCAGCAGGTCGAGGCTGCGGTGGCCAGGAGCAGCTATTGCACTCCAGTCTGGGCGACTGAGACGCCAACTCAAAAAAAGACACAAACATGATATAACCCTTTGTATTGTAGTAGCAGATTTTCTCAAGATGTTCTACAACATTGGAGCAAAAAAAAGTAATTACTGAGGAATAATTAACAATCACTGCCACGAACAAGCTTTTCAAGGCAAACCACCTAAAACTCGACTAACCTTGTGGCCTTTCAAGTTGACACAACTCTAGTTTGTGAGCTAAACAATCACCCTGTCATTTTTTAGTCTCAAACTTTTCCCTTTTATTCATAGTCCTCAAGATGGTATAAATGATACTCAAATAAAACTAGTTATTTATATTTATTTATGGATTTTAAAGTAAATTGTTTACCTAATTTTCCTTAAACATTCTGCGATCCATAATGAGAAATGTAGTTTCAAGGTGCTGACTGGTGCCTTCTTTGGATATCATGGGCTTCATGCCTGGGAAAGGAGTAATTGGCCACACATTAAAGACTTTGTCTCTTCTGTTTAAAACAGATTGACAAGCCGTCAAGCACAGGTTCCGTAGGTCTAGTCTCAGAAGAGTTGGGCAAAGGGTAGCAGCAGCACCCTGGAAAGGTCAAGACAGGCTTCAGAATGAAAATGAGCTACAACAGGAAAGCCAGGCTCTGTTTCCTGCCTCTGCTTACAGAGATAAGGCATCTCATTTGGGGAGGGTGTCCCCTGGCCAGGCTGTGACCCTGAAGGTCACTGGACGGTGACCCCTGATGAAATCTGTGAATGAAAGGAAGTGAAAATGAACTTAGTCAGAATTTTAAAAAATAACAGAGGCTTGAGAGGGTTAGGGAAAGGGATTTCTTGTAAAAAAAAAAAAAAAAAAAAAAAGTTAGTACTTAGTTTTAATTCACTTTTTTTTGTCCTTTGTTTTTTATTCTTATCTTTCTCCTTAACTGAAATAGGTAGTTTCTGTATACTGTACCAGCTGTTTATTTGGGACACCATATTGATAACAGAGAAGGTGCTATGCTTTTTATTTTCTATTTTATACTTGTGTTCTTTTTGAGACAAGATCTCACTATGTTGCCAGGCTGATCTTGAACTCCTGGGCTCAAGCAGTCCTCCTGCCTCAGTCTCCCAGAGTGCTGAGATTACAGATGTGAGCCACCGCACCCACCCAGCTGTGCTTTTAAAAATTGAATATAGCTGACCAGGCACAGTGGCTCATGCCTATTATCCCAGCACTTTGGGAGACCGAGGTGAAAGGATTGCCTGAGCCCAGAGCTTGAGACCAGCCTGGGCAACTTGGTGAGACCTCATCTCTACAATAAATCAAGAAAAATTAGCTGGATATAGTGGTGCATGCCTGTAGTTCCCCAGCTACTTGGAAGGCTGAGGCAGAAGGATCATCTGAGCTCAGCAGGTCGAGGCTGTGGTGAGTGTGCTACTGTACTCTAGCCTGGGGCAACAGAGTGAGACTCCGAGTCAAAAGAAAAAAAAAAAAGGAACATAGCTTTATTATTTTTTTCTTGTAATCCCCACAAGAGCTCCGTAAGCTAGGGGACTGCAATACTATCTACCTTGCAACAGAGTGGAAAAAAATAAAATCAAAGACTTATCTGTGCTCAGGAGATTTTTTAAGAGACAGAGCAGGAGTTAGCACCAGGATCTCCCACTCCAATTTGAGTAGTCTGCCCCCGAGACCACATGACTCTCAGGACACCCTTGAAATGATCTAGGCAGAAGCACTGTAAACTTTACCTGTAAGTTAGACCTCTCTCCAAACACACTCACCAAGAACGTTGTATTCAGAAGTCAAAATTGACCAACATGAAATAAATGTAACAATACTAGTATTTAATATTTGAGTGTTTATTATGTTCCAGACTCTGTTTTAAACAGTTTATATAAATAAGTTCACTGACGAATACAAAATTAATGACTCAATTGGTTAATAAATTCAAATGTATTAAAAATCTACACTGCAAACTTTCTAAGTTAGTGATCTAAGTATACTTTGCTCTTAACTTTTAAAAAGTTATATTAGTAGATTTTAAAGTTTTTTCATTTAAAATATATATCACGGCCGGGCTCGGTGACTCAGCCTGGAATCCTGTGCTTTGGGAGGCTGAGGTGAGTGAATTGCCTGAGCTCGCGGGTTCGAGACCCTCTTGGGCAACTTGGCGAGACCTCATCTCTACAATAAATCAAAAAATTAGCCGGGCATGGTAGCATGTGCCTGTAGTTCCAGCTACTTGGAAGGCTGAGGCGGAAGGATCGCCGGAGCCCAGCAGGTCGAGGCTGCAGTGGCCGGGAGCATGCCACTGCACTCCAGTCTGGGTGACTGAGTGAGACTCCAACTCAAAAAAATAAAAATAAAATACATATCACAAAACACCTTCTCAATCAATATAGAGAATATACTCCTTATTCCACCTATAGGTTACATAGCTGAACAGAATAACAGGAAGTGAGCTTATCAGAAGCTACAAATAAAAGATTTGCTACTGGGTTTTTTGTTTTTTAAACTTTTTACTTTTTTATTTAGTTTGCTCCTTGTGTGCTTGGTTGTCAAGTCCAAGTTCAGGAAATTTCTCATGTCTCTTGAGAAATGTTAGGGATTTTTTTCTTAGTTTGCATCAGCATTTTTGAAGGAGCCAAAAAGGGTACTAATAAACGTGGCATAACTGTGGAACAGTCACATCTGTATCGCCTGTTTTCTACCTGTGAAATGGGAATCACATGCCTGGTTTTAACAGTATCTCGGGCATATAGAATACTGTCCCTGATGTTATTTTAGAATACCCAACAAATATTTCTCAGGTGTTTTTTACTGTATACTAGGCCCTGTGCTGGGTTCTGGGCATACAGGAAACAAAACCCACGTGATCCCTGCCCTTGGACCTCACAGCCGAAGGGGGAAACAGACCTAACACCGGTAAAAAAAGAAGATAAGTCATTGAAAAGGGTGGTAAGTGCCATGAAAGAAGAGACTAAGACTCCTGTGTCAAGAACAGGAGAGATGGAAGCTGAAAGGAATCTGTGACTTCCTTGTGGCCAAATAACTGTGGGACCCAGGCTCTCTGTTTCCCCCAAGAACTTTGCTCTTAACTTTTAAAAAGAACCTATGTATTTATGAATAAATTATCACTTGGATTTATCTAAAGGATTATTCATAAAAATAAATGACTATGAGCCGGGCTCGGTGGCTCAGCCTGTAATCCCGCGCCTTTGGGAGGCTGAGGTGAGTGGATTGCCTGAGCCCGCGGGTTTGAGACCCGCCTGGGCAGCGAGACCTCATCTCTACAATAAATCAAAAAATCAGTCGGGCGTGGTAGCACATGCCTGTAATTCTGGCTACTTGGAAGGCTGAGGCGGAAGGATCGCCGGAGCCCAGCAGGTCGAGGCTGCGGTGGCCGGGAGCGGCCACTGCACTCCAGTCTGGGCGACAGAGTGAGACTCCAACTCAAAAAATAAAATAAAATAAAATAAAATAAATAAATGACTATGAATGCAAGGCAAGATTAGCATAAGTAAATCTGTTTTTCTGCTAATTTAGCAACCACATTTTAGCTAAATAATTAGCAGAAATATTCTACATTACTTGGCATCAGGAGTTTTAGCCACCAGATGAAAACTTTAGCATCAGTTGGGTCTTTAGAAATTTCCTAAGAGCCAGCACTTAGCATGAGATTCCTTTCTACAACATACAGCAGGTAAGCTGAGTGCTTCCTAGGTGCTCCCTGGCCAGATTACCTCACTAAATGGTATGACAACCCTGTGAAGTGGGTGACTGTCACACAGTTGAGGAAACCTAGGTTCGGAAAGATTAAATAACCCAAACAAATTACACAGCTGAGAAGCAGAGGCACCAGGCCATTCAGCAAGCTTTGGTTTTAGCTATTGAGCTCTGGTCTAAGATTGCTGTATTATTTTTCCGTCCAAATGGTTTTGTTGGTTTGTTTAAATAGTCAAATCTAAAGGAGTACCTCAGTGTTTGGTTCTCCATTAAAAAAAAAAGATGGGAAAAATACAAATGAAAACTGGTTTTGATTTATTTAATTCATGTGTGCTTTCCCTATTACACTTCAGGGTTTCTTTTTTTTTTTTCATTTTTTTGTTCT